CCGCGCACAGAGCACGCCGGGACGGTGGCGGCCCCCGCGGCCGGCGGGGCGGGTCCTCCAGCCGCGTCCGCCCGCAGCCCCGGTCTGTCGGGGCACCGCCGGGCACCGGGGTGGTGTTAGCGACTGGTGTTGAAAGGCCAGGTGTGTGTGTGCTCACCAATAACGGGGATTTTGTCCTTGAATCTCTCAAGCGTGAGCTAATGAAAGAACTCCTGATGCGGGGGGGCGGTTGTTGTTCCTGTCCTGGGCCGTGGGGCGGGTCTCACCGGGGTGTTGGGAGAAGTGAAGGTGTTGTCAGGAAAGTGAAAGTCCTGAGTGCCCTAAGCCGAGCTCCCTTCGTTATAACGGCAAAAGTCTTGCCTGTGGGTCCCGGCCCAGGTGAAGGCCCTTCCCCCGAGCTGTGGTGGCCAGAGCCTGGTGTCGGTCACTGCCCCGTCGGGATGTTAATATTATAACGAGGATGTTCAAAGGTGTATTAAAACCGCTCAGAGAGTCCTGAGGGGGGTGCTTGATTTGTCGGGAACCATGAAGTAATTAACCCATGTCTCGCCCCGGGGGGTGACCCTGGCGGTGGTGCCCGGGGAGCCCCGGGGTGTCGGGAGCAGGGAAGGGGCTGGCACCAAACGCAGCTCGTTCAGCCGAGGGACAGCAAGGGGGGGAAGCACCCTCTCTCTGTCCCCATTCCACCCTGTCCCTCCTCATGCCATGGCCTCAGGGGCGCCCACCCTCCTCCGGCCGCCCCGGGGGTGCTCGGGACCCGTGGGCACAGGGGGAGGTGGTCTCTGGGAGAGGAGATGGCGGCAGGCACGGTCCTGTGGGGAATGGCTGCTGGTTCAGTGGGATCTGGGGGGTCTCCCAGGAAAGGAGCCCCAACTCCTCCAGTCCAAGGCTTGGGGAGAGGAGACAGAATCCCATGGGTTTGGAAGGGACCTCTGGAGATCATCCAGTCCAACCCCCTGCCAGAGCAGATCCACCCAGAACAGGTCCCACAGGAACTTGTCCAGGAGGGTTTTGAATGGCTCCAGAGAAGGAGACTCCACCACCTCCTGGCCTGTTCCCACACCAGAGCCCCTGAGAGCTGCACCACATCCTCCACCTGCACCAGAGCCTGGCAGAAGTGCCTCCTCTCCCACCCAGGCTCTGTGCCTCCATGACAACCGAGGTGGCTGCCCGAGCCACCATCCCCACAGCCGATGGGGACACCAAGGTCACCGCAGGCCTGGGCTCCTGATGTTCCCCATGGCCTCGTGTCCCAGATCCGCAGGTCTTGGCAGGTTCTGTGCCTGGCCAGCAGAAAGAAGCTCACATGCAAAGTGTCCCCGTTGTCACCACCCATGCCAATCCCCGTGGGAAGCATGTTGGGGAGAAGGAGGAGGAGGAGGAGGTATCTCCTCTCTGGCCTTTAAAGACCCATTGCATGCATGTCTGTATGGTGAAACACCGCCACAAGGCAAAGGCAGCGTGTTAGCACAAGCTGAGGAGGGGAGGAGGAGGAGGAGGAGGAGGAGGAGGGCTTTGGCATTTCTGGAGGCTCAGTGAGGATGAGGCGTCTCTGCAAAGCAACAGCCGGTGGAGCTGAGGCTTCTCCACGCATGGTGCAGATGGTTGATGTGCTGTTCCCCAGAGCTGAGTCAGGCTGGATCCACCTTCTCCATCCGCCCACGAGGCGCCCGTCCACCCACGGAGCCAGGACAGCTCCATAGAGCCTCCTCCCGGGCTCGATCCATGTTCTACAGCCCAGAACAGCATCTGCCGGGTGATATTTGGTCTCAGGCGGAGGTGAACACCACAGAGGACCTGTTGTTTGGGTTTTTTTTTAAAGGCAGTTTTATTTTGGCCTCTTCCTGTAGGATGGGGAGGGCCTCGTGCCCAAGGCAGGTTCTGGCCTCACTGGATATGGCTGTGAGCCGTCATGTCTGCCGGTGGGGCAAACAACAGAGGTGGGAACAGCTGCTATTTCACAGATAGCACTCTCATTTTGAGGTGAGGGTGCGTTCTTAGCTAACAAACATCTTTTCAGGGAAATTATCTTGCCATGTGGATTAAACAGGCATGATTTTATGAGAAGCAATTAAACACTGTCCCAGTCTCTGGCAGGGTGAGCAGTCTGGTGGCAGGGCACACAGAAGCCCTCCCACAGGATGAGTCCCGCAGTCCCGGACCCAGCCCCACCGCCCCGTGGGGACACAGCACCCTCCCGCTGCCCCCCGGCAGCCCTTCCTCCCGCTCCCCTGCCGCAGAGCTCCGCGTCCGGCCCGTTACTCATTAACTCACTTTTACAGCCCAAACCAAACAGCGACAGCACGGCCCGTGCCGCCCCGCACCCCTCCCCGGCGTGCAGCCCCCTCCGTGCCAGCCCCACTGCAGCTACAGCCGCTGCCCGGGGACAGGGGGAGCCCCCTCTGCGTCCCACCACCCACAGCCCGGAGCGGGGGGACCCTCCCCAGCTGTGGGTTTGGCTGCAGCAGGTTTGGGGATGCAGCTAGAGGATGGCGAGTTGAGCGTGAGAAGCGGAGCCACCGGCAGCGCTCATGGTCCAGGATGGATTTGGGACCCACACACACCCCCCAGCCTCCGCTGCCCGGGCTGGGAGCTGAAGGTGACCAAGCCACAGCTGGGCCAGCAGCCCCACGCCGGGGGACTCATCCCCCAGAGAGCTGGGGCTGGAGGCAGAGGGGTGGCCAGGTGGATCCCAGCTCCAGGCAGGGTAAAAGCCATGGGTGAAGGGTCTCGACCTGAGGGCATGGTCCCAGGAGACACGAGGTTGAAGTCTGCAGGCAAAACCTAATGTGTCCCCCCACCTGAAACTCGGGGTGCCTGGGGCTGGTGCGAAACGGGCCGTGGGGCTGCAGGGAGGCTGGAATTTGGCCACGCTGACGCCTGGGAATCAGCATCCAGGTTGGGCCCACCCCATCGGTGGTCTCCACCACGGCTGGCTGGCCCCGAGCTCCTGGTGGCACCAGAGATGAGCTGGGAAGCCGGTGAGGGCTGTCCCTGGCCGTGTCAGTCCTGCAGCCGCAGGCAGGACACGGTGGGGAGAGTTGTGGTGCCTCTGCCCGGGAAACGGTGGCCTTTCCTCAGGCGAAGGAGGACCCTCCTCTTCAGGCCTGCAGCCAGCTGGGAGAGCTGCTGCCGCACGTCCTTCTGCCAGAGGGAGTAGAGCAGGGGGTTGAGGAGGGAGTTGCCGAGCCCCATCAGCCAGATGTAGTTCTCGATGACTTTGTAGGGTAAGCAGCTGGGGCAGATGGTCTGGACGACGCTGGCGATGAAGAAGGGCAGCCAGGAGAGCGTGAAGCAGCCGATGAGGATGGCGACGGTGCGCATGGCCTTCATGTCGCTGGTGGTGCGGGACGGGGGGCAGCCCCCCGCCAACCCTGCCTGCTCCACCTCCCGGATGTGCCGCACGTGCACGGCAGCGATCTTCAGCATGTCGCAGTAGAGGTAAATGAAGAGGAAGAGGGCAGGGAAGAAGCCGGCGCAGAAGATGGAGAGCATGTAGGCAGGGTGGAAGACGCTGAAGAAGGAGCACTTCGGTCGGACAACTTGGGGGGTCTTCTGAAAGACCGGGGTGAAGGCCGGGAGGAAGCCGATGATGGCAGCAACCAGCCAGAGCCCCACCAAGCGCACCCCGACCCGCAGGCCCGTCACCATCTGGAAGTAGTGGAAGGGCTTCCTGATGGCCAGGTGCCTGTCGCACGCCACCGTGATGAGGGAGAGGATAGAGGCAGCGGAGGAGGAAGTCACGAAGGCCATCCTCAGGACGCAGAAGATCTGGGGAGGATAAAAGGGCTCGGAAAACTCATCGATGACCAGCCCCACGACGGTGAAGCCAACCATGGTGTCCGCAACGGCGAGGTTAAGGACGAAATAGAGCCCCTTGGAGTCGCTCTTGTGGATGAGGTGAAGGAGGGCGATGGCCACCAGCACATTGGCAGTGATGATGAGTGAGGCCAGCACGGCGAGGATGGCTCCCACAGCCGAGGTAGCCATGACTGTCCCCTTTTGTGTCCCCCTTTGGAGGGGGCACAGCCTGAGGATGGCGTGTCCCCAACACGATTTTAGGGCATCCCTCACCTGGGGGCTTCTCGGCACGTCCCGCTCAGCGTTCTCCGGGTGGCAGGGGGGAAAAAAGCCTTTGGGTGTCGTGGCCGTCTCTCAGGTTGGGCAAGCGGAGCTCTGCCGGAAAGGACCAATGTACTCAACGCTGTGCCCCGGGGAGGTCCCTCCTCCTCCTCCAGCCACGTTTCCAGACAACCCTGGAGAGCAGGAGGGGGGTGAGCAACGAGCGCCTGGGCAGGAAGCTGCCACAATGGCAGACGGGGCGGTGGACGTTCCCCCGGCCAAGCACCGAGGACCTGAGCAGAGCCAGGTCCCCTGGCTCTGCTCAGGTCCTCGGTGCTTGGCCGGGGGAACGTCCACCGTGAGTTCTGGCAAGAGGGAACAAGCAAAAAGAGGTCCCAACACCCAGGTCCTTGCAGGGACCGAGGGGATGACACCGATTCCTGGTCAGAGTGAAGGCGAGGGGGGTTATAACGGGGGAAACGCGCGCACCAGAGAGGTCGGTGCTGAAATACAGATGGGGAACCTTCAAGAACCCCAAAATAAAGAAACTGCCACAACCTGGAGGGCAAAGAAACTGCCGTCACCTCCAAAGGGGCCTCCTGAGCAAGCAGAAGTCGGCAGCGGCTGTTCCAGGCACTGGTGTCCTCCTCCCACATATGGATCCATGTAAAAATTCCCGGTTATCTACCCAAAATGAGCATGAACTCCTCTGTGCCACCCTTCGGACACACGGCTGAGTCCGGGCTCCCTGACACAAATCTCCAAGGAGAGATTTCATCCGCCATCAATTAACCTCGCTCCCGGGAGCAGCTTAACATAATAATACTTAATATAATAAATACTTTAAAAAAAGCAGTAATACTTTGAATTAAATATATATATTTGCTACTAATACTAAAAAAAAATAATAATTATATATTCATGGTATTCTAAGTACTTATTATTATTGATTTTCTAGTTATAAGTGTATTTGCACTACAAATACAGAAATTCATGGAGAAGAAGCCTCCGTGTCTTTGTGTATCACAGAATCCTACGCCCCCACCGCCGTGTCCCTTACGCTCCGGGGGGGCAGGTGACGACGGTGACTGCTCCATCCGGTCACACGAAGTGCCACCTCTCCTGCCTCCTCAGCCGGAAAAAGGCGAGCTGCCGGGAAACGGGGCAGGTCCCAGCCTCCCTCTGCAAACAGTAACCGGAGGAGCGTGGGCTGGGGGGGCCGTGTTTTCCAGGGTGCCTTGAATAATACCCCCCCCCAGCAGTGCTAATCCAGTGGGACCCTCCTGTGGGTGCGTGGGGAAGGTTCCTTCCAGCGTTAAATCCAATGGGATGGACATTTACCCAGCACACAAGGGCTGTCCTGCTTTGAGTGACACAGGGTTCATTCCTCTTTCAGTAATTCTACTTGTCAGCAAGGTCTCTTCCAAAGCCTGGGAAAACTGCGCTCTGAGAAGACTCTGGTGTCTGAACTGGTGACAGTATTCCCTGCACAGCCAGCTCTGGGGGGTGGGTTTCAAGGTCAGTGAGTGACACAGGGTTCATTCCTCTTTCAGTGATTCTACTTGTCAGCAAAGTCTCTTCCAAAGCCTGGGAAAGCTGCACTCTGAGAAGACTCTGAACCGGTGACAGAATTCCCTGCACAGCCAGCTCTGGGATGTGGGTTTCAAGGTCTTGGTGTTTTCCAGCTCCCCAGGAGCGGGGACGAGGAGAAGCGAGCCCTGGGCCCCTGACCCAAGCTGCCAACGGGGTTATTTCATACCACGAACGGCACAATCAATAGAAATTAGGAAGTTTGCTGAGCAGTTCCCTCTCTCTCTCTCCCCCTCGATGGCTGGGATCCGGAGAACCCCCTGCCCCGGTGCCAGCCCCGAGCCCTTCCCTCCCTCCCGGAGCCGCAGCGCTCGCAGGGTCCCACAGGGACTGTCCCTGGGGGAGAGCACGGCTTCTGCTGGGGAAGGGGCTGGGGATGGGCCTGGGGTGTTTTATATTGGCATCGGGATCAATGCTGGTTGTTTAGTGTTATTAATGCCAATTATGTGGCACAGAGCTAAGGTGCAGGGACAACCAGCCGCTCCTCACTGTCACATCCCAGAGATCATCACCACTGCACATGGAGCCCACAGTTACTACTGACAAAGGGAGGGGACACTCTCCTGGCACTGCCGAGGGCTCCTCGCCTCCCGCAGACGGGCAGGAGAGCAAACACTAACCATCAGAGGAGCCCCCCATAAATGAACGGCGGCAACACCACCCCATGGAGCTCTGCAGAATAAACAGCTCCAGAACTGACACTAACCATTAAACTTTGTTTTGGAAACATTTCAATTGTAATGAATCCTAAAGATTGCTTTTATATATACATATTTGGGAAAAAAGATAGATAGATAGACAGACAGACAGAGTGTGCTGAAGACACAGCTGCTGTTCTCTCCACGGGCAGCCACACCATCTGCTCTGGAATAAACCTGCACAAACACAAAACTCAAGGCATCCAGTCAATAAATAATTTAATGAGGTTACGATTCTGCAAGAAAACATGATTGTGTCCCTTCCCAGCCCCTGGCCTGGCCCCCGGGCACGGCAGGAAAACGCTCACCAGCCCAACAGCCAGCGGCGGCTGCAGCCAAAGGCCACTGGAATGCACCCATCTTCACAGAAGATACTGCTTCAGGCCCAGACACACCTTTCGTACTCGCCTCCGAGGGGAAAATCAAACATGCAGCACCCGCCAGCAGCCCCCCGGCTCCGCCTCGGGCGGATCATGCTCCAGGGACCATGCGTTTGGGGAGGGGGGACGGCCCGGACCCACGGGTTCTGAGCCACGGGGAGATGTGAGGGTGAGATGGAGTCTGAGGCTGCAGCCACGGCCCCCGGCTCCGGGGGAACGAAGGCAGCGCTCAGAAGGGAAGGCGCTTCAGCTGCTCGTACGTGATAAAAAACTGAAGGGAAAGGTCAAGGAATTGGGCAAAACACATCAGGCAGCCCCGGGCCCTCCCAGCGAGGCAGGGAGAGCATCAGCTCGGCTGTGGAGCAGCAGGGGAAGCCCCTCTTCCAGGCGATCTGCACGGGGGGAGAGGGTGTGGGGCAGGAGCTGCCGGGAGAGGGGAGGGACTGACCCAGAAGCCAACCAGCCTGGGCTTGCCCAGACCACAGAGAAAGGGAGGAGGCTCTAACCCCAGACTAGGACTTCTTTAAAACAAATTACACACAGGATTTCAGAGGACAAGGTGGCTGCAGTGTCACAGCAGCTCTGCAGAGTGGGTCAGTCCCCGTCTCAGAGCAGGAGGATGTTCCCCGGGCTCCCTCCATGGAACAGGAGCTGATCCAGAAACAGCAGCACCTCCAGGAGCTGGGGCCAAAGGGAAAGTCTCCAGCCAAGGACTCACCCTCCAGCAAACCCCCCGTGCTGCCGAGCTGGAAGCCCTGCACTGGCCACCCAGAGAGCTGTGGGAGGCAGCCACACCATCAGTGGTGTTTTTTGGCACTTGAACCAGCAGCAGCCAGGTCACAGCCTACGTCTGTGCCAGCAGGACAGGGAATCCGCTCTGGGCTGACAAAGAGGTGCCCCACCAAGGTGTCTGCTCCACATTTCCCTTCACAGCTTGGTTCTCCCCCACGTCCACACCCACCACCTCCCAGCAGCACAATGAAGGATACAATGATGTTCCAGGGACCGAGCCGGAGCCAGTTGGGCCAGAAACCTTTATAGAGTGCAAAGAAGCCCTCACTCTTCCACGTCTGGGAGGAGAGAAGAGACAGATCCTTGAAGAGACATACCAGGTCCATGCCCTGCCCATCTCCCAAATGCCACCTGAGATAACAGCCCTTTCCAGCCACCGCAGAAGCAGAGGCCAGTGGAGATGCAGTTAAGATGTGTGAAGCACCACTTAAAAGTATATGAACTTAATCAAGCTGCATCGCTGACAAGGTTTTGTCCCATAAGGTTGGGAAGACGCTCAAGCTGATGGTGACCCCAGGGAAGTGATTCCTGTCCCTTCTCTGGTTTGTCTGGAACACCCACCAAGCAGCACGTTCTGTCGCTGTGGAGCCCATCTGCTCCTGGTGCCAGAGCCCGGCCTAAAGCCAGGGATTTGCCCACCTTTCCCCGCTCCGTACCTTCACCAGCCCATCCAGGGTGCCCTTGTAGAGCTCCGTGCTCCCCACGATCGCCCGCTGGTTCATCATCCGCGTCCGCACCACGTCCACAGGGTTGGAGGCAATGGCCCCAGCCAGCCCGCAGGTGAAACTGGAGCTGGAGACACCCCAAAAGGAGAGAGGAACAGCCCTGAGCACGGCCGGGCCGGTCAGACAGGCCCTGACACAAGCACGAGATCTTCCACTGGCTTTTCTGAAGGGCATTTAGCAATAGTGGTGAGCTGCACTACCTGCTCCCACCCGGGGAAGAGGCCGAGGCAGGAACACGCCGCCTCAGGACCCCACAGAGCTACGGGGAAGGGAAATCTCTTTTCTTTTCTGATGGAGATTCAGAGCCCACAGCGGGGTCTCCCCCGGGGCATCCTGCAGCCCAGCAAGTGCCTGCGGGTGCTGTGGAGGTGACACAGACCTGGAGGCAGCCTCTCGGGAGCACACATCCTTCTCACCAGAGCAAACATCTCTTCGGGGCGGGGAAGGAGGGAGGAAGACCAAAGGCAGCGAGAGGGAGCATGCAGCTGCCAGTCTCCTCCCTCCACGTATGGTCTGGTGCTGGTCACCTTCAGCCCTCAGCAGGGAAACCCAACAGCAGCACCGCAGCACCTCCGGCTGAAGTGTCTGCCAGAAGAACAGGAAAATGGGGGTGAAAAAAAGACTTTGGGAGTCCCTAACCCTCCCCCTGGCAGCCTCACAAGTCTCTGTTGGTCTCACAAAGCTCTGATGGCAACGGCTTGAGGTGACAGCGGCCACAGACGAGGACCTTTGAGCCGACTGCCACAGGGAGTCACACACCTGGAACTCCTGCTGTGTTCATACTGGGGCACAGACACGGAGCAACAGTGCTTCTGGACATCAGCCAGCCCAAATCAAGCTGACATTTCCCCTCACCAAGGGATTTCTGCCAGGCTCCTTCTCCAGGGAAGACACTTTCTGGTCTTTCTGGGGATACTTCCTCTCTGGGGATACTTCCTGGTCGTTCCAAGCTGCTCCAGTCGACGCAGCAGATCCCTCACAAGCTCTGAGCCTGTTCTCTGCAGCTCCAGGGCACTGGCTCCATAAAGAGGTCTCACCCCAAATCCCACCTCGCTCCTCTGCCTCGCACAGCCCTGCTGAGCCTGGATGGGTGCAGCAGCTGCAGCCAACACTCACACGAAGTGGGCGAAGATGGTGTCCCCCATCAGGCCTGACACAATTAAGTGCTTCTTGGTGATGTCGTAGACTGGCAGTTCCACCCCCACCACGATGGCTGCTCTCTGAGCCGTGGGGACAACACCCTGCAGAGCACAAACACCGGTCACAAGCACGAACATCTCCCCCAGCTTCTTCTCAGGGGCCTTTTGGTGACCATCTGCCCTGTCCCCTCCCTGCCCCATCCCACAGCTCCCCCTCTAGCAGCTTCACCCCGGAGCTCCCCTCCCCACCACACGGCACTAATTGTCTTTCTGGAAAGGATTTCAGTGACCATAAGAGAAATGGGATTATTGCCTGAAAAAAAGCACTGGGATTGTGTAGTTCCCATTCCTGACCTCCCAGCTCGGCAGAGGGCTGGGTAACTCAGCATACAGAAGACAACCTCACTGGAAGGACAATTCTCTAACAGAAGTCAAAGAACTGCTGCTGAAACCCAAGCAGCAAGGCCTGAGCACTGGTAACTCTCATCCTTCGAGCCCAAGAGCCGTACGTCACCAGCGTCCCCAGAAGCCACCGCTCCGTCCCACTCTCTGCCTGCTCAGAAGCAAGTTTCAAGCTGAGCACCCTTCCAAGGACCTGGGAGAGGATCCAGCCCCAGACATTGGTCCATTCAAGGGACACTCGTGTATTTGAGACTTCATGGAGTCTTCAGTCTTGGAAGCCAGGACCTGGCCCAGCGCTGAGCAGACCCGACCTCCACTGCAGAGGGGCTGCTGTTTGCCCAGGAACCGAGGCAGAGCTTTGCTGCTCCCCTTGGTTCATGGTTCTCTTCAAGAGAACACCCGGGTGCAGCAAACCAGTCAAGAAGGTGTTAGTTCTGCTACGGGCTGGGGGCTCCAGCGGCCGGTCCTTACCCTCCAGAGGCCTCGGGTACCCTCCTGCTGGTAGATGTCGATGAAGCTGCCGATCATGCCGCCCTGGAACAAACTGCCCTGGGCCTGCATTCGGATCTGGAAGGAAGGTGAGAGCCCATCAGCGCCCGCCCAGGAGGGGGAGAGACAGCTCAGGGAGCTCCTGGTACAAACAGGGAGCAGACACCACCATCCACCCAGCAAACCACCCAGCAAGCCACGACAGCGGGCCAGGAGCAGGCTGGAAGCGCCGTACAAAGCTCAGAGGAGACAGGGAAGTGTCAGACAAGGCTTTCCCACTCCGAAAGCAGCCTGAGAAGGTTGATCTGCACAGGGAGAGGTGTTGGAAAGCTCTCCAGGCTCTCTTTGCTCCGAGTGGAGCTACCTTGACCCCAGTAACCTCCCAGTAGGGAGTGGAGGGGACCAGGCAGCCCCTGCTGGGCCCCGGTCCATCCTAACAGGCAGGGCTTTGCAAAGCACAGCACAGTGACCAACGGGAAAGGGGATGAGAAGGTCCAACAAAGAGCTGGCTGCCACCCCACCACCTGGCTCAGACACCAAAGTCTCCATCCCTGGCCATAACAGATTTCAGGATCTTTAAGAGCTATATTTTCAAAAATGTGTTTGTTTGTTGCTCTGGGCTCCTGTCCCCATTCACAAACCCCCCAAGGAGCAGGAGCAATGCCAGCAGGAGCTGAGGGAACAGCCCTGCAGCTGGGAGAGACGCGCCGGCGCTGGGAAGCAGCAGCATCTACAGGTCAAACCCCAGCCAGGAGCACCTCTGGCCAGGCAGGGCTCTCACCTTCAGCACATCCGTGGGGTTGGCAATTGCCGAGGAGATCACCCCCGAGACCACTCCACAGATGACATTGATGAGCAGCGTTTCATCTGCAATCAAGAAAAGACCATAAGATGGCCGACAACCCACAGAGAAGGCGCGCAGACCGTACCGAGCAAGCGAGAAGCTCTGGGGAGAGCAGAGAAGCTCCGATTGCAAATCACACGGTGAAGGTGGGTGCGCAGAGGCTGGGCAGTGCCCCCCAGCTCTGCCCCCTCTGTCAGGGACAGGGAGCAGCCGCCGAGACACTCGGCAACGCGCTCGCAGAGGGAAGCGGCTTTTACTGATGAGTCTGATCAGACAAGGGAAGGACTGGGGTACGTGACAATTTTGAGCAATTATCTGAGATTTCAGCGTCCAGTGATGCATTTCTCATGACGGGGACGAGCCCAGGGGGAGGGAGGCAGCGGGGGAGAACCCAGCACCGCTCATGGCAGCCTGATCCCAGTTTGGCCTGATCTGGAGCCCCAGTTAGCCACGCTCAGAGCACGCAGCCACCCTGAGAAACAGAGAGGAGGCGACCCAGGCAGAGGAAGTTAGATGCAATTAGTGCCGGGGAGGGGAATAATCCCAGACTTCCAGGCCCCGTATTAGGGTGATGGTTACGTTGGGAAAAGGCACAGCCCTCGGGCTGGTACTGACCACGGCGCTTCCCAGAGGAGACCAGGCTGCCCCGGGCCTGTAGGGAGACAAACATTCAGACAACGGTACTCACAACTGGAAACGCCGCAGCAGCGAGCGAGGAGAGCCCCAGGGCACCACACGGAACCAGTACAGGGGTGTTACTGGGGAACGGAGCAGCCCCTGGACACAGCTCAAGTGCACTGTGTTTCCCAGTCCTCCTCCTGGCTGCTGACCGGCCCCGGCCACCCAGCTCCCTTCCCGGGTGGGAGCGGGGGTACGACGTTCCCTCGTGTCACACCAGGGGTTAAAACCAATTAAAATCTCAGTGCTCCTTCAGGGAGCATGTGCCCAACTCCTGCTGCTCCTCTCTCTCCCTACCCAAGGGGGACAGCTCAAGAGCACTCAGTGTCCCACCTCTGTGGCGGAGCCAAAGCCTAACAGGACCCAAAGGCTCCATGGGGGGGACAGGACAGACTGGCTATGGAAGCTTTCAACCCACACACTGCATCTGACCTACAGACGGGCTGTGACCTCCTCCCCGAGACCCATCAGGAGAGATGAGCCTGGCCCAAAGACACCCTTTTTTTGGCTGTGACCCAAACCAGGGATAAAGGCTGGGGAAAGGAGAGCCGTGGCTGGAGGGAGGCGTTTGGCCAGGGACTGCGGGCAGTGCCGAGCACAGGGGACTCCCATCTGCACCAAACCCTGTCCTTGCTGTTACTGCGCCAACAAAACCACAGCGAGTCACGAGAACTCAATTTCTATGGGAATCTACAGTGGGGAGGGGCAGAGAAAGGAATGAGCAAAACCAGGGAGCACCAGATGTCACACTGCGAGCGAGACACCGACCTTCCATGCGATCCACAAACAGCCGCTTCAGACTCTGGTAAATGCCGATCTTTATGGTGCCGTAGGACGCCTGTCTCAGCAGCGCAGGGGCGATCCTGAGCGGGGAACAGGGGAACCACTGAACCCTGCCAGCGCGGTGGCCCCCACAAATCACCACCCCAACTGCCAGGGGCTGAGCTGGGGAGGGGTCTGGAGCACAGCTCTCCTGAGGAGCGGCTGAAGGAGCTGGGGGTGTTCAGCCTGGAGAAAAGGAGGCTGAGGGGAGACCTTCTCACTCTCTACAAGCCCCTGAAAGGAGGGGGTAGCCAGGGGGGGTCAGTCTCTGCTCCCAAGGACTGACCCCAAGGAATAGGCCCCGCTGCCCCAGCCCCCCACAGGGCTCAGGGATGGCTGGGGGCCTGGGAACAGCTCAGGGGGAGCCAGGATGGCAGGAGGGAACCCCAGAAAGGCAGAGGAGGACCCAAAGAAAGCAGGGAGAGACACAGGAGGGCAGAGGGGGGCTGGGGGCGGGCAGGGGGATACCTAGAGAAGGCGGGGAGGGAATGGAGGAAGGCAGATGGAGACCCGGGAAGACAGAGCGGGGTCCGGGGCGGGGGGACCCCCATCACTTACCCCGAGTAAAGAGCGCGGCCGCCCTCCTCCCGGCAGATTCGGAAGAGGGCATGGAACATACCGCGGTACCGCACCTCCCGGAACCGGGCATCGGCGCTCTGGCCCTGCACCTGCAGCCGCGTCTTGGTGAGATCCACGGGGAAGGTGCCTGAGGGGATGGAGGAGGAGGAGAAGAAGAAGAGCCGCCATTACAGACCCTCCCCACCCTCCATCCCCGGTTCTTTCCCCCCCCAACCCCTTCCTTTTCCCGCCCCCTCCTCCTTCTCCTCCTCCTCCTTTCCCCTCACGCCTCTCACCGAACTCGGCCACGATGGAGGCGAGGCCGCCGTAGACGAAGGGTTTCCAGTTGAGCGCGGACATGGCATGGCGGAACGGGGCGGCGGCGGGGGCCCACCCGGAAGCGGAAGTCGGTGATGGGGACGGAAATGACGTGTTTCCCCATCCGCCATCATGGCGGCCCCCCTGAGCGGCTGGGACCGGGCCCCAACGGGATTTCAGCCGTTGGGGCCCGGTCCCAACCGCTCAGGGGGTAAAAAAATCCCCCTTTTTCTCACTCTCCAAAAAACATAAGTCCTACCAGAAGTTATTTGTGATAAAAACAGGTTAAAAATCACCCACCCCCCCATTCAGGAGATAGAGACACTCCAGACCATCCTCTGCTTGGCTTTTATTGAGGTAATTAAAACAAAACAAGGCCCGACGCAGCTCTGGGGATCCACCAGGTCGAGGGGAGACACCCACCCGCCTCACAGAATTACGGAGAATCTCTCCTCGCTTGGTGAAAGAAATTGGGGTGAAAATAGGGGAAATCGGGGTGTTTTGGGGAAGGAGAGCAACCTGCGGCTCCCAGTGACCGTCCCTCTCGTCATGGCGGAGCGTCCTCGGAAGGGCTGAAGGAGGGAACAGGACTTGCATCCCATTCCGCAGCCACTCCTTCCAGGGATGGAATGAGAATCCGTGGTGAAGGTGCTGGAGGAGAACAGTCCGGCTGCCAGAGGCACAGGGAGGCTCGGAACAGGATTTTTGGACAAGCCCAGGGCTTCTCCTGGCTCCCAAAGTGCTGGTTCCTGGGCTCAGCAGCGGCTGGAGCCTCTCCCGGAGCCGCGCTCCCGGGATCTGCCTCCCTCGGGACGCTCCTCCCGCCGGCTGCCGTGCCCCTCGCCCCTCCTGCCCGGCTCCTCTCTCCTCTCCTCCCAGGAACCGCTCTGTCCCCGCTGCTCCTGGCAGCCCTTCTCCCCTCTCCTCTCCGAGGGCCTCTGGTGTCTCCGCTCCTCCTCCCGGCGCTGTGTCCTGCTCCCACCCTTCCTCTCGGAGCCCTTGCTGGGCTGCTGGCTGCTGCCGGCGTAGCGCTCGTAGGCCGGGTCCTCCTTCTCCTTCTTGATCTTGATTCTGGGGTGTGCCTCCTCAGGGGACACCCCCCTCTTGGCAGCCTGCGAGCCCTGCTCCGGCCGCTCCCGATGGCTTTTCTCCTTAGCTGAAAATACAAGGTTTATTTTTTGGGATGGAGAGTCCCGTGTTGCCTCAGCTCCCCGAGCTCTGCCCGGCACCACGGCGCCTTCCCAGCTCCCCTCCCTTTCTGTGTTCTCCCCCCTCAGGGAGATACAACTGGGCCCCTCACCACAAAAGACCTTGAGGGGCTGGAGCGGGTCCAGAGAAGGGCAATGGAGTTGGTGAGGGGTCTGGAGCACAAGTCTTGTGAGGAGAGGCTGAGGGAGCTGGGGGTGTTCAGCCTGGAGAAAAGGAGGCTGAGGGGAGACCTTCTCGCTCTCTCCAACTCCCTGAAAGGAGGGGGTAGCCGGGGGGGGTCGGTCTCTGCTCCCAAGGAGCAGGTGATGGGACAAGAGGAAACGGCCTCAAGTTGCCCCAGGGGAGGGTCAGATTGGAGATTAAGGAAAATTTTTACATGGAAATGGTTATCAACTCTTGGAATGGGCTGCCCTGTTTGCTGCCAGAAGATGTAGAGCAACAAACCCTGCTGTGTCCACTGGAACAGGAGGCATTCGGGCACTCATAGGGTTTAACTTAAGCTGCACTTTTGGGCCTGCTTTCACAGAATCATAGAATAGATGGGTTGGAAGGGACCTTTAGAGATTACCTAATCCAACCCCTCCTGCTTTCTTTGGCTTCAGTTTCCAGCCACAGAATCCCACCTAGAGCTGCTGGTTTTACCTTCAGTGCAGTGACCTTGCACAGGCCACGTTAACGGTCATTCTGTGCCCCTACAGCGCTCTAGTCCTACGGTAGCACCATCCAGATTTTAAGATTAAGTGCTATTACTGTCTGCAAAATACAGCTCTTCAGAGGCTGGGGGAGGACACTCACAGGTAAGGACTAAATACAGGGGCTCAGATACCCCTCAGGAGATCAGAGAGTAAAGCCTGGGCATTAGGCTGTGGCTCTTTCCAAGAGCACACCCGTCCTTGGTGTCCCCCCAAGTGCTGGGACCCTGCGAGGCCGGGGGCTCTGTACAGACGCTCCCACCCAGGGTCAGGCCCAGTAGGAACACACCTCACCTTTCTGCTTTTTTACAGACACATCGTCATCTTCTGAGAGGGATTCAGATGACGAATGAGGCGGCGTTTTAACTCCACAGCCCTTTGCATGGAGGGCTTTGGTGACATCATCTAAGTCATCGGACTCTTTGGGGGGCCGGTAGTTGGCCACGTGGTCTACTCGAATGGTCCTTCCTTTGATCTGCGGGAGAAGCCACGCTGTCAGCAGAGGCACAGACCAGCTCCCCAGGAACCCGCTGCTGGGGCTGCTGTGAGATGTGCAGCAGCACCTCAGGGCCAGGGCAGCCGGCCGGCCCGCATCCCCGCTGCCTCACTCACCTTGATCCCATTGAAGTTGTCGACAGCGAGAATGGTGCTCCTCTGGTCCTCATAGCACAGAAAGCAGAAGCCTTTGGACTTCCCAGTTTTCTTGTCCCGCACCAGGTTAATGTTAACGACCTCCCCGTACCTGCAACACACTCTGAGCACCCG